CGTTGATAAGACATAGGTCCAGCTTTGATGGAGTTTGTCGAGTTAAATGACGGACGACAGTCCAGCGCGTTGACACCGAAATATAAGGAGGCTGAACGTCCTACTAACATCAGGTCAAGAACATCCAACATCTTCTTCTAATGATTATGGTACAGGATTACATTAGGATTACAGGATCACATTAGCAAACAAGTTCGCGCTCATCTATGCATATTCATATTTAGTAGATCCCGAGATCATCACTAGATCCTGTATAATAGCATTGGTCGCATGGGATGATGAAGGATTTCTAACTTTATTTTCCCACAATTCCACTAAATGTAATCACTGCTTGCTTTGCCTAATCAGTTTTCGTCATATCATGATGGGAATTTTCAACCATCAACCATTGCTTTATGTAACCTAGGGTGACTACAGGTCTTATTCAGAATATAAACATGTCGCTGTACATCTCGTGATGAGATTTGTAGACAATGGAGGGATACTTTACAGTGTTCACCTGTTTACTATTTTAATCTATGCCAAGAGGCCCTTCGCGACAAAATTTGCGACTTCGATAAATCGTTGGGAAAACATGACCAAAACACTAAACCGGTTGCCGGTAGGGCCAATTACGAATCCAGCCCAACCATGTTTTCAAACGAAACGAAAGGTACAGCAATATGAATCTTTAAAGGGTGCTTTACTAATCGTAATTGTTCGCTAATCAGTCCGTCCCATGAGGAAGTTGACTTTGGTGAAATTGTAAAATAGTTTCCGCATGTGTGCCCAAACGTGTACCCATTTAGTCTGCCAATCACAGAAAGGGTTTTAGGTGTGGACGGCACAACAATGCCGCATAATATCGTTCCGGTCGGTTACGCAACATCCCATCAATACATACTGGCATGAAAGCATCACATGTCAGGACATAGTAAAGTGCCCGCCTCCTCGAATTGCTCTAGAATTTGGGACATTCTGTCCGCTTGTCTTGGTGTCGTTTGACTCGTCTGTGCTTCTGCATTTGTGTCGTTTATTCTCTTCCTGTTCGTCTCATCGTACACACACATCTGCAGGTGTGCATAGTTATGGGCATTTTCCGCAGTGCATGTTGCATGTACTTATACTTATTTCTGTATCTAATCGTAAATATCGACAAAGAGAAATGGAAGCAGGCGAAGAGGGTGGAACAACCCACTGTCTCAGAAAGAGAAAGGGTCAGGGAGCTTGGAGAGGCGAGGTGAAATCAAAACTTAATGTTAAAAAGCATTTTTAATTTCCCAAATGTACTGCAGCACTGCTCATTGGCTCAGGGATGCTGGTGGCCAGAGAGGGAGAGAGAGCAGGTGTGGAATAGGCCGCCGAAGTGTGTGAAGAGTGGGAAATTTGCCGACAAAATTAGAGCCGCTCTAACGCTTCTTCCACTATTGACTTGTGAAAAGGATCGGCAGGCTTTGCAGCAAAGTCGTCCACACAAAGTCATAGATACAGGTTGAGAAGGGGGAACCGGCCGAGCGTCATGTAGACGGGCAGATGTGCAGCAGAGAACTGGGCGCATTCGCGAATGCGCGACAATGAAGCGCCATAATCGACTGTGTGAACGGACCTGGGAAGCTGGTACAGCAGAGTATGGGGGCGAGCTCAAGTGGGGCGAGCTGGAGAGACCATTTATCACGATTAGCAAGCAGACACAAGATGTGGGACCGGATAGTGATGGTATTACCCGGCCCCACATTCGACCTCCATGTTCGTCCTATTTCCTGTCTCCTCTCTTTGCGCCCTCCTCCCTCACATGCATCCTTCAATCTACCACTTACTCGCCTTTCCCCCCCGCCCTACTTCCATCTCCCGCACAACTTTCGGCCCAACACATTCTCTTCTTCACACTCTCCCTGCTGCTCATCCATTCATACCAAGCATGCGTGCTCAGGCTTCAGGGAAAGGGTCAACTTGGGTCAACTTTTTCTTATTGTCGTCAAGGCGAACCTTCAAGCAGCAGTTGGCCAAACATGAACCAACCTTATCTCCTTCGGTTAGGCAGGCATTTACGTTCGAGAAAGGGCATAGTTGGTGCCAAGTTGGTGCAAGTGTTTCCGAAGAGGCATATTATACGAGGGTCGAATTTCACGTGCTAAACCGGAACGAATTCCAAGAGTCGATCTTGACGCTTGTCGTGGATGCACTGCTCGGCTGTCCTGTTGGATCAGATCAGCTGGTACAACCAGAAAAATGGCTTCTGTGCTCGTCAGGCTACCGGCTATGGAGCATAATCCACCGTTTGGCCGGACAATTCCAGCAAGACTGCAATTCAAACCGATCTGGCCGCCAAAGAGGAAAAGTGAAAAGATCCTCTCGAGTCATTTGGTCAGTTGGAGAGTGTACCACATCGCCAAGTGATGCTGTGACCCGTCAAGACGCATATTGCCTCAGGCGGCAAGACAGTTCAATTCCAGTCCCTACAGACGATAGAACGATGGAAACAACACAATGCATTGGTTTGTTGCCCGAACAATACGTGTACTGTATGAATTTCAAATAGCCTAAGTGGTGTCGCATTAGGCCACATTTTAGCCACGCATAGTGACATCAAATACTGCCGTGCTGCCAGTGACAAGGTGGAGTTTGGTACCAAGTATGGCAAGGCTGATACACCATGGCCATATAGCAGAGGGCTCCAGACAAGGTGTGTTCATAGAGGTCTGACAACACGACTCAGTTATGAAAACAAGGTTAAACCACTTAACTAAGCGAAAGGAGACGGTGAACAAAAGTGAAGAGGAATACATTTTCACAGCTTAATTGTGTTTTGTGGAAGAATTCAAGGAACGTTTTCATGTGGTGGTCATCCTGCATCGGCCTGTTGAAGGTACATTACAGGATTTTTTGCTGAAAGAACGCATGCTATTGGTAGCAGAAGACGCAATACGTGGTAAGATGTTCGAAGTTTCCATGAAAACACTTTTAAATTTAGATAAAGCGACATATTCTATTTTGGTATTGATACCTAAAAGGATTGTGGGAAAATGCAACCATCAGTCCTTCATCAACTTGTAGGATGACTAGAACTCTTGTTCAAGATTTACTGATAGTCTCGAAATAAAAGAGTAATAAAGTTGTATTGAAGTAGTTTGATCATTTGGACTTATTGTCACGGAGAAGAACAAATCTTTTTATTTATCATCATTTCCAGCGTCGGACCGTGGACTTGATACATTTTCAGAAGTTTCGCCGGTATCCTCAGTGAGTCTTGCAACTCTTAGCACCACACCACAACAGCTAAGAATGGCAAGACTTACTGAAAGTGCCGAGTACGATGCCGGCGAAGCTTATAGGAAGTTACCAAATCGACAGTCCGACGCTGGAAATTATCAGTGATAATATAAACCCTTAATAAGATGTCTTCTTGACAATCTAATAAAGTTGCAAAAGCAAAGTCAAACAACTTCTGTACAACGAAAGGGGACCCCAAACACCTTGGTCTTTATACCTTTGAGGAATAAAGATGATTCAACTTTGAGTTCGCAACATAGTCATAGCTATAGGAGAGGGGGATGTGACGAGAAGGAGTGAGCCGATGACGCCGACAACTATGCTGCCTACAAGGCTGGTGAAGCTTCTAGAGCTGTACCCATTCAAAGATGAGATGCTGGAAACACATGATAAAAATAACCGAGGATGAAGAACGAGTACAGTCTTCAAGATCGCCCTGCATACTCAAATAAGTTGTGAAAACAAACTCAAAGATAAAGCATCTTAGATACGAAGAAAAACTGTGTTTCCAATAAAACCATCTTAGCAACAGTCCTACCAAGCTCAGTGTTTTAGTGGCAAATTAGCAAATGATAACGAAACGACAGCAAAAAGAATGATATTACGATATAGTTTATCAGAGCGATAGGTCCTCCGGTGCCATACCTG